AATACGGTAAACCAAAAAAAAAAAATTTCTATTTGAATCATGTGTTAAGTATTCTCAAAAACTTTCAGCTATTTCTTTGCAATGACGAGATGGGATGCCCAGAAGGATTCAAATGTGCACGAACTTTGCTTTTTTCTGACTTTTGTCCTCGATGCTACTCCTAAGAAAGTTTAAATGTGCAAAAATCGAGCTACTACACACTTTGATAATAAAATTTGATCTTTTCAGCATTTCACAATTTCTCCTAAATAGGTAAAAATAAGTTAGAAATTGAAAAACGATTTATTCTGATTTAGCTAAATACGGTTTTTTGTTGTGCTCCTGTTCGAACTTTGTTTAAAGGCGCCAACTTCGGAGACATTCACCGTTTTTTCGGACTGTTTCGGGCTTGAGGCAAAGACCATAAGGGTGAGCAAGCTGAAATGTGAGAAAGGCTTTCTTTTGCAAACTTATAATCTTCTTAAAGCGCTGCAGCGCCGACTTGCCTTGTTCCGAAGTACTTGCAAAGATACCAAAGAGTGTACACATAAGAGACACACACATTCCTCAAATTCAATCCAAAAAAACTGGAGGCGACTAAGTCAACTATTGGACTGACGAAAGTCCAAATGATGTTCGATGCCGAGTTCAAAAGCATCTGAATTAGAGCGGGTTTCCCCTTGATTCCTAGTTTGACAATAGGAAGGGGAATATGGTAGAAATTGGTTGAAGATCTCGAAAAGTAAAATGGAATCTGTTTCCTTTCTACCGTACTTGTTTCCTAATTTCCACTACTACTCCACATCCGCGAGATGCATCGATAAACATATATCGCAAGCAAAATCCACGGCGATTATATTTTTACTAATATTTCGCGCGGATGTGCACTCAAATCTCAACATTAAATATGGTGACCGAAATTTTTCCTCCAACTTAAAAGGAAACCACATATACTTATATACTTATACACTTACGGATTGACCCCAATATTGGTGGGTTGGTAGAATCGACTCTGGGGAACAACATATTCAAAATTCGGCTGCAAAGCTCCAAGATTGCGGTAGTTATAACGATTATAAACATTTCGCTTTCTATCGTCTCTGCTCTAGCAAAAAAAGGATCTCAAAGACGGACTCGAACCCGAGACACAGCTCTCCACTTTGTAACTGAACGGACTACCACTACACCACCGTGCAATGGCTCCGTTGTGCTAACTGGCCCCAATATCGAGAAAGAGAAACCCGATTGTCGCCGAAATTTGTACCAAATAATAAAAACGCTATAACTACCGTAACCTTGAAGCTCTGCGGCTGAATTTTTAATGTTGTTCCCCACCAATTTTGGGGGCAATCGGCGTCTGTGAGTATATGTGGTTCCTTTGTTAGTCCCAAACAAAAATGAATTTCTAGCTCGGTCTGATTCGGCTTCTATTGAGATTCGGAACCGGAATCGGAACTAAAAATCCCTCTTGAATTGGTTTCAGACTTGGTTTAGTCCCGGTTCCATATTTCACTGAATACTTTATGATTATGGGGAGAATGCTAATTTCTCTTTGCATACTACCAAATTCTCCTGACACCTCACCTCGTACAAAAGCAATTCATAGACTCGAGAAGCTTTCCCATCTTTCAACAGCTAAAGAAATTTGAGGTTTTTAGTAGTACGTTGACTGAATGTTCTATAGATACAATAGTTTACTAGAGTGAGACCTTATACGTTTTCAATCTGGTGTAGACGTCGAGAGAGATCATCAGAATCGGCAGAAATTCTGCCTCAAAGCGGAAGAAAATCAAAAATTGATAGAAATCCCATTCGGGAAAAACATATGACCCAATTGCTCTGGTCACGGCTGCGAATGAATATGCGAATGCAACTTGAGCCACGGGCCATTTCAGGGTTTTTCGATAGAGTCGCCCGTCGAAAGAAACGGCAAAAAAGCGACTTAAAATGATTTAATCTATCAGAAGCCAAAAAAATACATTTTTTGTCATTCTAGTTACCGTAAATACTGTAATATTAGGTTGTCCGGAATGAAAATACCATTTTAATGAAAAACAAATCTATCTCCACAAAAAGAAAACAATGTGCTTTCATCCAAAAGATATTCTCCGTTGTTGGCAATAGTCTTTCTTCATTTTTCTTTCAAATCTCGGATCCCTTTGCTGAAGAAATCCTGAGGCTGCGAGTCGAAGTATTGGCCTACCCAAATTCGGAATTCGTCGTGACCCTTGAAGTGTTTATTGGTCAGGAAGCGCTGCATAGATCGACGCTGTTCGCTACACCAAAAAAATTGCAATCGAAGCTGAGGGTATTTTCATTCGGGACACCCTAATAAATAGTTTAAAGTTTAAATTGAAGCGCTTTGAGTCAAGCAATGCATTGCTTGACCAATTCTCACCTATAAAGCTTTGATGCATACCGTAAATACTGTAATAGTACCCCGCCCGCCTCGTACAGTCACGTAGTCGCAAGTATTTCATTATTTCATTTTTTGCAAAGCACCCGTACTTTCAAAAAATGCGTCTTTGGTATAAAAAAATAGCCTTGAATTTCAGCTATTTTTTGATATATAAGCGCGCATTATAGCATAAGCCAGTGTCGAGAAAAACTCGTTCAAAGCTGGACTATGCAACACTCCGCACCGTCATTATGGGGGCGGGGTACTATTACAGTATTTACTGTAGTCACTTCTAAAAGAAGTTTTCCTTGTGAGTAAGATGTAGTGTGAAACAGAAAAAGTACTCAAAGAATTAGTTAAATTCTTCGCATTTTTCAAAATACAGTCAAATACTACCGTAGCCTTTTCTGCTTCCCGTATCACTTACATAAAACACACGCTAATCACAACTGAAACAACCAACAGCCAATGCCTTTTTAAGATTGTTCACTCAACCTGATTGAAATCGCCGTCTGACCATACACCATAATCATATCGACTCCCCAGATGCTGTTGAAGCTGAGCAGCGTCCCAAAGAAGTCAAAGATCTTTTGAGAGCATCTAGAATACTCGGAATCACCCTTCACTCGACCTGTTCTCCCGGATCGGTTCGATCCTAATCAGGGCTGCACGGATAATTCGGATCATCTGGAATTATCCGAAGTGTTTCTGACAATTCGGATAATTTATCCGGATCCGGATATATTTATTATTTATTATTATTTATTATTTATTTATCCGGATCCGGATAATTTTGATCCGGGCCGGATTATCCGAACCACTTGAAAATGACTTCGAACTTCTAATGAATGAAAGTGTTCATTTTTTTTTCGTAAAAACAAGCTCAATTTATCAAAAAGCTGTTTATTTTATGGAAGCTTTTAGGCTTAGCATAGTCAAGTCAAGAGAAGTCAAAATTGGTTTCATGGGAAAGAGAAGTCATTTGAAGTTTCTCAGAAATTTGCCGATTTTTGAACCTTAAACCCAATTACCAAAAAGGAATGTTTTTTGCTATACTTTCAAAGACGAACGAAGCTTAACGATCAACTTTAACGGCTCATATTAGGTTGAGGAAAAAGTAATGTCGGTTTCTGTCACAAAATTGTTTATTGCTAAAAACATTAAAAAAACGCACATCGATCAATGAGATATTCTCCATTATTATTGATGACTCGTTCACATCCGGAGGAGAAATTTCAAAAAAATCGGGAGGGAGAAATTCGAGCCAAAATAAGTGTCGACTGCCTTTTTTGATTTGTGCATGATTCTCGAACTTTTCTCCCATAAGAAAACTCTTCAACGACCGAAACAAAAAATAATCTGATGGGGCCAGGTCCGGACTATAAGGTGCGTGGAGCAGAAGTTTCCAACCATGTTTCCAACCAAGTTTCCAACCATGTTTCCAACCAAGCTCGTCGATTTTTTGGTGACTGATTTTTGCAGTGTGCGGTTTTGCATTATCATGAATGCAAAAATAGCACTTTTGATGTTTGAACGATCAATTTCTTTAAAGCCTCGCTAACTCTCATCAACTCTTTTTGAATAAAGATCAGCGGTGGCAGTTTCTCCGGGATTCAACAACTCATCGATACACCAAACCTTTTGTATTCCACCAACAGCAAAGCATAAGTTTCTTTTCATGAATATCGGATTTTGAAGTTGGTTGTGGGGGTTCACCCAGAGAAAGCCACTGATTTTTGCGCTTCACATTCTCATATTGAATCCATGTTTCATCAGATGTTAGAATTCTTCCCCAAAAATCATGAGATTTACCTTTTTTGAAGCAGAGTAGAGCTAACGATAACACGACTTGTTTTGTTGCCTTGAGTCAGTTCATGAGGAACCCATCTTCCGCGGCGAATTGTTTTTCCTAGTTGATGTAGGTAGTTTTCGATTGTTTTTTGGTCCATCCCAAATGTGTCCGCTAACTCACGAGTGGTAAGGATTGCATTGAGTTCAATGGCATCAAGCAAATCCTCATCTGAAATCTCTTGGGGTCGTCCAGACCGTTCCTCGTCTTCGAGACTTTCATTTCCATCTTTGAACCGCTGAAACCGCTTTGGCATTGTCTTTTGCTAATGCCGTCTTTCCCAAAAACTTCAATGATTGTCCAATGCGATGATTTTCCTTGTTTAACCTATCATACCACCAAACGGCTCGAAGTCGAAACTCTTCGTCTTGCATTTTGTACTTGAAAATATTATTAAATTTGTAAAAGTCAAATATTATATGAAAGTATAGAGTGTCTAGCTGATATCTATTTAAAAAAATCGCATAAGCCAAGAACTGGAAAATTACCAGCAACGGGAATTCAAAACGGACATTACTTTTTCCTCAACCTAATAGTGGTTAATCCGAGTCTTTGCCATTTAATATTCAATTTTAAAAATTATCCAATTCCCGGATAATACGGATCCGTATCCGAATTTTATTTGGAATTTAAAGAATCCGGACTATCCGGGAATCAATTATCCGTGCAGCCAATCCGACCCGACCCAACGAGATCAAATTTCGGGCAAAACCCGATCCGATCCGATCCGAAAATGTCAAACCCAATCCAGGCCTCACCTCACCGTTTATTTTACCTGAAATCCCTGATCTCGAAAAAACAAAAGTCAAGCCCAGAAAACGCAAAAGCCCTGAAACATTTGCTAGCGCTAATGGCAGCAGCGAAAAGCCTAAAATCTTGTATCTTTTATGTGTAATTTCTTTCAAACTCGTCACCTAATTGCTAGACAAATTTGCTTGTTGGTTAGAGCATAGTAGAAAACAAATGGATTCACAACAAACGTCAAGATATCCGACTAAAATTTAGTTCTTTTGGCCAGAAGTTGAGTGGCCTTTACAGACTCATTTGATCCACTCTGTCATTCAGTTTCCGTATATTTCAATTTCAAAAGCCTGTTCAACTACGCAAGAGCCGTTTGTTATTCTCAACAAAAAACAAACCAGATCTTCGCAGAAACTGCTGATATTTGTGAGCCGTTTGTAGAGCTTGTAGCTGATATCCCAGTCGGAGTCAAAGTTCATTGGAATTCCCGACTTGAGCCAATCAGATACATAAAAAAACCCTGAAAAAGTATTGATACTTCTTTAGGTATATAGATTTCGCATCACTATTGAAATTGAATTTTTGATTTTTGCCGCTTAGAAATATCAATCGATTTGCCTCTGATTTAGTTTTTCGAATCGATTTTTGTAACTTACCTCCAAAAATAGCAACAAGAATAAAAACCTTGACTAGATCGTGGTAGTTTCCCCAAAAGGGCTGCAACTTTTTCAAAATCTCCATCAATAAGCTAACTTTTCGAATGGAAACAGTTTCCAGTTGAAGTGATTTTATTTTGCTTCACCTATAAAACATAAAAATTTTTTTGATCATTGGGCGGCTATTTTTTGTAAAGAATGGGCGATGCCTAATTGCTACTCTAAATCAACCTCAAGAAAAGGGAAAATTAGAGACTAAACTTCGAAAATGAAATCTTTTCCTTTATTCTTTCTGCTTCGCCGTTTTTTTAAAGGGCTCTTTTTGCAAAATACAGTAGTTATTGAACTGAAGGAAAAAGAAGTAATTATTGAACGTTTCACATTTAATATCAGCTCACGAGAGTAGCAATTAGGCATCGCCCGTTTAAACCAAACCGTCCAATTATCAGAAAATTTTCTTACTTTTTATATCTTGACGTCTTGCGTAGTTGAACAGGCTTTTGAATGTTTTACGGACTTTTGAAATTGAAATATACGAAAACTGGAGGACAGAGTGGATCAAATGAGTCGGTAAAGGCCACTCAACTTCAGGGTCGTTCCATTCTGGCCAAAAGAACTAACTTTTAGACGGATATCTTGACGTTTGTTGTGAATCCATTTGTTTTCTACTATGCTCTAACCAACAAGCAAATTTGTCTAGCAATTAGGTGACGAGTTTGAAAGAAAGGTCGTTAAGTCTGTTTGGTCCTTTAAATTGGATAACAGTCGTTCTTACCTGTCACAAAATTATTCACAATCGATGTGGTCGGGTTGTTGTCCTAGATTCATAATTGACTTGTTTTTTCAACAACTTCAAACCTTGACTTCATCTTGTAGAATTTGTTGAACCCAATGCAATGGAGCCATCCATCGAACAGCCGTACAGCTGGCCTAAATATTTGATACTAATGAAAGTTTGAAAAATTTACATAATGTTCCTCAAGAATCGTGTACTCTTTGTCAGTCAACAAGCCAGCGGTGATCAAATCGCGGACTTTCGGGAAACGGAGACGGATTTTTGAGGGGACATCTCGCCTGGAAATTGACTTCAGTCTAGGCTCAGCTCTGGTTCAACCAGACCCTGTCCATATAATTCCAGAAAGACCAAGTCAGAACCAGTTTAGACCAAATAGTTCTATTAGGTTGGTGAGAAAATAGTCGAAATTTGGAGCCTCTAACTTCAAGTCCAAAACTAAAAGTCAATAACAAATGAATTTCTTCAAAGTAAAAACCATCAGCATCTATACACTGCTGCCAACGCGAAACAAGTTTTCCAATCCCATCAGAATAGAAATTTGGCGTTTTCGAGTCGATAAACTGCTGGAAAGCGTTTCCGGCCTCCCCTTGATTCTTGAAATGTTTATCTTCTAGAAAATGGCACAGATGCTTGAAAAAGTGGAAATTCGTAGGAGAAAGATCTGGTGAGTAAGGTGGGTGACTAAGAATTTCGTAGCCCAGCTCGCTCAATTTTTTGATGGTTTTGATTGAAATGTGCGGGCGAGCGTTGTTGTGAAGCAAGACTGGAACTTTCCGATTCACCAAACCTGGATCCAAAATTGTCAGTTTTGTATGCATTTTTTCTATTTCCAAAATATATTGGTCCAAATTCATAGAATTTCGTGTTTTCAAGAAAGAAAAATGTATTATTCCTTTCATGGACCACCAAACAGTAATCATCACCTTTTTTTTTTATGAATCTCTGGCTTTGCAGTGCTTTTGGGCTTTTCATCTTTGCTGAGCCATTCGGATCTTCTTTTTCTCTTGTCATACAGGATCCATTTTTCGTCACACGTGACAATCCGATTCAGAAATGGATCTTTTTCATTTCGGGTTAGAAGCGTCGAGGCGGCTGTCAGACGTTGCAGCCTCTGAGAGTGGCTTAATTCGTGCAGGATCCATTGCTCCATCCTCTTTACCTTTCCGATTAATTTCAAATGAGCCAAAATTGTTGAATGATCAACCTGAAGGTCCTGTGTGTATTCTCGAGTCGTTTCGGTCGAATCTCTCCACACCAGTTTTTCCAGTTCTTCATCGTCAACTCTGGGAGGCCTTCCTTCAGGTTCGTTGTCATGAAACGTCTCATCGCCCGAGTGAAATTGCCGAAACCAAAAAGCGACCATACCATAAGAAACACTTCCCTTCCCAACTGCCCTGCTGATATTACCAGTCGCTTCTGTTGCTGTATGGCCAAGCTTGAACTCGCAGAAAAAAAGTGTCCGAAATTGTTCCTTATCCATGCTCTTAAAACACTAAATTTTTATTCAAAATAAAGACTGATTGTAAAGTAAAAAAACATAAAAGAGAAGAACATATATCAATCACAATTAGCTAAAACTTTAGTATCAATGACGCAAAAGGACTTTTAAAATCAAAGGCAAAGTTTGAGTCTTGTTTATTTCGATTATTTTCCCACTAACCTAATAGAACTATTTGGTCTAAACTGGCTTTGACTTGGTCTTTCTGGAACTATATGGACAGGGTCTGGTTGAACCAGAGCTGAGCCTAGACTGAAGTCAATTTCCAGGCGAGATGTCCCCTCAAAAATCCGTCTCCGTTTCCCGAAAGTCCGCGATTTGATCACCGCTGGCTTGTTGACTGACAAAGAGTACACCATTCATTCACCATTCATTCATTGGAACGACCCTGAAGTTGAATGGCCTTTACAGACCCATTTGATCCACTCTGTCCTTCAGTTTTCGTACATTTCAATTTCAAAAGCCTGTTCAACTACGCAAGAGCCGTTTGTTATTCTCAACAAAAAACAAACCAGATCTTCACAGAAATTGCTTATAATTCGAATGAAAACAGTTTCCAGTTGAAGTGATTTTTTTGCTTAACCTATAAAACCAAGAAAATTTTTTGATAATTGGACGGTTTTTTGTAAAGAATGGGCGATGCCTAATTGCTACTCTAAATCACCCTCAAGAAAAGACAAAATTAGAGACTAAAAGGTTCTAAAACCAAACCTTGTCTTTATTCTTTCTGCTTCACCGTTTTTTTTAAAGTGCTCTTTTTGCAAAATACAGTAGTTATTGAACGTTTCACATTTAATATTAGCTTACGAGGGAACTATAACTACTTACCATCTCAGATCGACTCTAAAATTACAGGGGGGAAAGGACACCACAAAATAAGAATTTTCTGAAGTTTTGAGCTGCTAAATGCTAGAAATAACTGAAATATAAGGTTTCGAAGTTTTAGCTTAAAATGAAACATTTTTGGGGATTTACACGACACTCTCTGAAGGAGACACTCACCTGCACGGGACGGATATCCGAGTGGCCGAGTGGTTAGGAGCCCGACCTGCTAGGCCAAGGATCCGAGTCAAAAAAATAGAACAATAGAGAACGCACGTTCTATGGTTTTGCAAAAAAAGCAAAAGAAACGGGGACGGAGCCGAACCAGCGCCTCTTCGACTACCAGACCGAGCTCCTAACCACTCGGCTACCCGTCCCGTGCGTTGGAGAGTTCCCTTTAAAGAGCGTCGTGTGAATCTCCAAAAATGTTTCATTTTAAGCTAAAACTTCGAAACCTTATATTTCAGTTATTTCTAGCATTTAGCAGCTCAAAACTTCAGAAAATTGTAATTTTAGTAATTTTAGAGTCGATCTGAGATGGTAAGTAGTTATAGTTCCCTCGTGAGCTAATATTAAATGTGAAACGTTCAATAACTACTGTATTTTGCAAAAAGAGCACTTTAAAAAACGGTGAAGCAGAAAGAATAAAGGAAAAGATTTGATTTTCGAGCATTTTAGCCTCTAGTTTTCTCTTTTCTTGAGGGTGATTTAGAGTAGCAATTAGACATCGCCCATTCTTTAGAAAAAAAAGCCGCCTAATGATTAAAAAAACATTCTTGTTTTTTATAGGCTAAGCAAAAAAAATCACTTCAACTGAAAATGATTTTCATTCGAAAAGTTAGCTTATTAATGGAGATTTTGAAAAAGTTGCAGCCCTTTTGGGGAAACTACCACGATCTAGTCAACGTTTTTTTTCTTGTTGCTATTTTTGGAGGTAAGTTACAAAAATAGGTTCGAAAAACTGAATCAGAGGCAAATCGATTGATATTTCTAAGCGGCAAAAATCAAAAAATTCAATTTCAATAGTGATACGAAATCTATATACCTAAAGAAGTATCAATACTTTTTCAGGGTTTTTTTATGTATCTGAATCGCTCAGCTCGGGAATTCCAATGAACTCTGGATCCGGCTGGGATATCAGCTACAAGCTCTACAAACAGCTCATAGATATAAGCAATTTCTGTGAAGATCTGGTTTGTTTTTTGTTGAGAATAACAAACGGCTCTTGCGTAGTTGAACAGGCTTTTGAAATTGAAATGTACGAAAACTGAAGGACAGAGTGGATCAAATGAGTCTGTAAAGGCCACTCGACTTCTGGCCAAAAGAACTAAATTTTAGACGGATATCTTGACGTTTGTTGTGAATCCATTTGTTTTCTACTATGCTCTAACCAACAAGCAAATTTGTCTAGCAATTAGGTGACGAGTTTGAAAGAAATTACACATAAAAGATACAAGATTTTAGGCTTTTCGCTGCTGCCATTAGCGCTAGCAAATCTTTCAGGGCTTTTGCGGCTTTTGGGCTTGACTTTTGTTTTTTCGAGATCAAGAATTTCAGGTAAAATAAACGGTGAGGTGAGGCCTGGATTGGGTTTGACATTTTCGGATCGGATCGGATCGGGTTTTGCCCAAAATCTGATCTCGTTGGGTCGGGTTTGGCTGAATGGATCATTGATTTCGGATAAAATTCGGATACGGACATTTATCCGTATTATCCGGGAAATTCGGATAATTTTTAGAATTTAATATTAAATGGGCAAAAACTCGGATTAACTACTAGTTCGTCTTTGAAAGTGTAGCAAAAGACATTCCTTTTTGGTAAATAACAGGTTTAAGTTCAAAAGTCGGGAAATTTTTGAGAAACTTAAAAGACTTCCTTAAGAAATTTAAGATGACTACTTTTTCCCATGAAGCCAATCTTGACCATGCTAAACCTAAAGTCTTCCATAAAATAAACAGCTTTTTGAGCTTGTTTTTACGAAAAAAAATGAACACTTTCATTCATTAGAAGTTCTTTTCAAGTAGTTCGGATAATCCTGCCCGGATAATCAAAATTATCCGGACATTTCGGATATCGGGATCCGAATGAATTATCCGAATTGTCAGAAACACTCCGGATAATTCCGGATAATCCGGAATCTCGAGGAGAAATCCGGAAGAACCGGGAGAACTTCTGGGTAATTCCGAGTATTCTAGATGCTCTCGAAGGGTCTTTGACTTCTTTGGAGCGCTGCTCGACTTCAACTTCATCTGGGGAGTCGATGTGATTGGGGTGTATTGTCAGACGGCGATTTCAATCAGGTTGAGTGAACAATCTTAAAAAGGCATTGGCTGTTGGTTGTTTCAGTTGTGATTAGGGTGTATTTCGTGTAAGTGATACGGGAAGCAGAAAAGGCTACGGTAGTATTTGAATGTATTTTGGAAAATGCCCAAGAATTAACTAATTCTTTGAGTATTTTTTCTGTTTCACACTACATCTTACTCACAAGGAAAACTTCTTTTAGAAGTGACTACAGTAAATACTGTAATAGTACCCCGCCCCCATAATGACGGTGCGGAGTGTTGCGTAGTCCAGCTTTGAACGAGTTTTTCTCGACACTGGCTTATGCTATAATGCGCGCTTATATATCAAAAAATAGCTGAAATTCAAGGCTATTTTTTTATACCAAAGACGCATTTTTTGAAAGTACGGTTGCTTTGCAAAAAATGAAATACTAAAAATCTTTTGCGACTACGCGACTGTACGAGCGGGGTGGGGTACTATTACAGTATTTACGGTAGCATCAAAGCTTATAGGTGAGATGCAAATGCTGCCCCAATAATATTTGCAATGACCCTCCTCGTTTGGGAACAGCTTCGTCAGCACTCCTGACCATTAATTCAGGATCACACGAGTTGAATTTGGGTAGGCCATCCCCCTCAGCAACGGGCGGTTGAAAGAGGGGGGGGGAACGAGAATATCTTTTGGTGAAAGTTTTTTTTTTTGGGTAGTTTGTTTTTAAATGGATTTTCT